TGCTAGTTAAGTGGTAAGAGTCTTATTCATTTGACATAAGTCTGAGGTTCAAATCCCTCCTCTTATCTATCTAATTTTTTTTTTTTTTTTATTTCAAACAAAAAAGTAGACACGTGACAGCATAAGAAACAAAGGTTTCAAAACACCATTAAGAGTGTTCACTTTATAATAGTTTCAAGACATCATAAAGAGTGTTCACTTTATAATAATATAGATAGATAGATAAATAGATAGATAGATAGATTATTACTATTATTAGTGTTAGTGTTATTGTTATTATCAATTTGTGCAGGAAAGTGGTTAGAACATGGTGGCAAAGTGGGGCATAAATATTGGAGAAGTCACTCCCATAAAGTGTGGCACATGGGTGGAAACAAACTGCTGAGGCAGTTACTTGTGATTTGTTTGAAGCCCACGACTTATAAAGAGGCCAAAGAGAGATGGGAAGAGTAGATCAACAACACAACACTTAGTTTTTAAACCTAGTTTTTGTCGTAGGTGTACTTCATCAATTTAAGAGTAGTTTTTTCAGTAATTTATAACCTGGAACTTTGTGAACTTTAGTAGTTTCATCTTAAAATTATTTTTTATTTACTTTGTTTCTCTTATTGATTGTAACTTTATTCCAAAGTAGTACACATTCTTTTGAGCCATTGAATAAAAAACACAATCATTTGATTTCCTTGTTTGGTTGTTTTGCTTGATCCTGTTGGGAGAGTAATATAATTTTTACTAACAGTTTTTTTTTTTTTTTTTAAAGCATGACGTCTCTGACCTGTTAAAAATCACTATTCATGTCGATGATAATTGTGAATTTTGCTAGGGTGGATTGGAGTTTTTGGAGGGAGGAAAAACATGGGAGAAAATAATTAAAACTTGGAGTAGAAGATGAAAATAATTGAAGATGAATAATACATATAAAGGATTTAGGTGTACCATGAGAAAAAAAAAATTTATTTTAAGGTTTCTATTGTTTTTAGTATTAAATTTACAATAGAATATAATAGAAATTAAAATTTCAAAAATTTAATTGACTGAATTATTATTTGGGTATAAATAGAATTACTTGTAATTTGTTCATACTCAACTTGAGTCTAATTTGATATTTTTTCCGAGTTGAACAACAAATTTTTGAATTTGATTCGGAGAAATTCAGAAATCGAATTAAATTATTATAATTTAGTTATAATATTGTTTGTCATTGGAATCCAACATAATAGTGAAATTACACTTGAATGATTACTCCATGTTTTAAGATTAAAAGCTCACCTGTATTTTTTTTTTTTTTTAAAGCATAAAAGAGAACTTCATTTCAACTCTGAAGTTAACTAAGGTCAAGTTTGACTAACTTAAAAAAGTACACTTATTTCATGTTTTTATCTTTTTTGAGTCATATCAATTAATATCTTCATTTTATTTTTTTTTACGCATAATACAAAAAAAATTAAAAAATACACTTATTTAATTTTCCTAAACTTGACTAAAAGTTTTTTCCAAACCAACCGTTAAATAAAGAAAGTGAGAAAAGGTGAATTAGAAATTGGTTTGAGTGAGAAGTTCGTCCTTCTCTCTAGAAACTTTCGTTTCTAGGGTTTCTGATTTCAATACTTCATTGAACGGCGTGATCTCTCTTTAACCATGGTTACCTCTCTTACTGACTTTGTATCACTGAGAGCTGACGATGCTGAGTGTGAGTGTACTATACAAGCAAGTCTTTCGAACGCAGTTTCTGAGGAGGGTGTTAGCGCAACGACACGGGTTTCGGCGGATTCGATTCAAGATATTTCGGATCGCTTCAGCGACCTCGTGGCACAACTTCGTCAAGATTCTCAGTCGAATCCGGTGGTTCCAAGTCCGAAGTGATCCGATCTGGTAGATGGAGAAGAGAGCTCTAGGATTTTGAAGCTCCCTGTTGAAAAATCAAGTGGTGCACGCAGATCTGTTGCACTGATTGGAAAGGGGTTGCAAGCCCACGCTGTTACATCGGATGTCGGTGGTTAGGTGTGTCGGATTTGGCTGACAGAGCCTCTGATACGAGCGGTAAGGTTGATACTACTGGAAAAGAGAGTCACCATCTTCAGGAGCAGAGAAGTTAGGCTAAGGTTGCTTCAGAACCATCCAGAAATGAGGTCAAATTGAAATTCATTGTTCCGGTTGTTCTCCCCCGCTCGAGCGGACTGTAAACACATGCAAAGTACTGGATACATGCATTTCCCGCTCGAGCGTCACTTTCCCCGCTCGAGCGGACTGCATGAATGCAGGCTGTACGCTCGAGCGTGAGTCCAAATTCTGGAAATTCCAAATTGAACCTTCAAGCTCAAAATCAACATTTAAAGCATCAAATTCGATCCTTTTGGGCAAATTTTCTGGAAAACACTTCAAAACTCATAATATGACATGTTTCAACGATCAATTTGAGAAATCAAAGCCCAAATTAAACACAATTTCAAAAAAGTTTTCATGAACATGAAGAACAATGCAAATTCAACACATGCATAGGTTCCTAGAAACACCAATGCTACAAAACAAGATCAAATGCAATGTTTAACTTGAAAACATGGTGAGTTCATGGATCAAGACCAAAAATATGAACATGCATGAAGAAATCCTCATGAAACAACTTCAAAACTCAACAATATGAACATGCATGCATGATTCAAGCTTCAATACAACAATTTAAGCCATAACTTGGCTCTAAACTTCAACAATCCTCTAAACCATACAAGAACCAACCCAAAATATGAACAAGAAGGTAAATTCTCTACCTTAGGTCTCCAATTTCAAATGTAGAAGCTCAATTATGCAAATTTCCTTCAACTCTCTTAATCTCCAAGCCAAAACAAGATGAAATCAAGCTTTCCTCCCAACTCACTCTCTCTAGTCGGTTAGGCTCTCAAATGGCTGAGGAAATTTGATGGTAAAGCTAACATGTATAAATCAAATAAGAGGCTCAAGAAAGCCCACTAAGTGGCATTTTGGTAAATAACTCAAGTTGATGCATTTTAACTTCATTTAATCTAATTTAATCATACCAAATCAAATTTCAACTAAATTTATCATAAAATCACATTAATTCTAATTAGCATAAAACAGTAATCAATTTCGGATTCGGCCGCCGATAAGGCCTTCAATTTGCAGTTTAAACATAATACACGAACAGATAATTTAGCAGTCAAACAGATAGACATGCATTTAAACTAATACACTCAATCGATCAGTTCAGGATTTCAGTCAATCAGTCACTTAACATGCTTAATCATAGATTAGCACTAATCAGTGGTGAGGGTTGTCACAACCACCCCCTAACTTCTGTCACTATACTACCAACACTATCACTACCATATTCACCACCACCACCAATTCCAACCACCTCTCCGGTTCTGCTTTTATAACCACCATAACCGCCTATACTCCTACCACCACTAGATCCACCACCCCCTAACTTCCATCACTATACTACCAATACTATCACTACCATAGCCACCACTCTATAACCTTCACGATCCCCACTACCCTATTACCAATGAATTGGTTATATACATATTTTTAAAGTAATGAACAAATGACTAATTCAATATTTTTATGTACATTATTGAGTGTATGCAAACTTAACCACTATTATCGATTCAATAAAACATTTCATGTAAACCTGAATATTTCCAAATTGATTACATCTTAAAATTCAATTTTTATTTATTTTCAATTCAAAAATCAAACCAAATTAGTTGTTTTAATATTATTGTAAAAAAATGTGAATTACATATATATTAAAATACAACAATCACATTGATACGTGTATATTTTAATAGTCACATATCTTTTCTTTTAAATACATCTAATCCAAATAGACATAAATAGTGCATAATTTGTCTATCTAGATTAAATAAATTTTAAAAATAAAAAATTATTTAAAAAACAAAAAATACATTTTTAAAAAATTGTAATCAAACAAGATACTAACTTTATTGCCAACAAGGTACAAAGTATTAATTAGTTTAACTTTTTTGGTTGAACTGGAACAAGGTACAAGGTACACTTTTTTTTTAAATACATCAATTATAAAAATTTCATTTCTTTGTTGTCATCTACAGGCAGTCACCAACAATAACATTGAAATGTATTAATTAGTATATCAATTAATTTATCAATTTATAATATTATTATTTTAAAACTATTATCACATTTATTATATAAATTATAAAGACTTAAATTTTTTTAAATTATGCCCACATCATCTATTAATACACTAACTAATATATCAATTAATACATATAATATTATTCAAATAAAATACAATCATTATATCTACACCTTTTGTTCCATCAATTGCTTCCCTTCCTTGGGAAGCTTTACTTGCTAGCCACAAACTTCTAATCACTCTGATAAACAACTCCCAAGAGTACAAACAAATCAACCAACTCCCAAGAGTACAAGCAACTACCAAGAATACAAACAAGTCTCACATTTTCACCTTCCACTTGATATATGCTTTTTTTGCATATAGCAGTTTAGCTCCCCAAAAAACAGAGGCTTCGGCTGTATGTATCTTTAGCCCCAAAAAAATCTGTCAAAACTTCCTTCCATTATTAATTTCATCTACAGGGGAAATGTCTTCCTCCCAATCTTCAGCCAAGCAAAAGCAAACCTTGCGTCCAGCAGCATGTCAAGGAGCAGAGTTTGATGACAAGCCATTATGGAATCATGTGAAGGTTCTCAATGTGGCTTCAGGTGGAGGTGGAAATAGAACCTAGTCCTGTAATTACTGCAGCAAAAAAGTAACTGGGTCATATACAAAGGTGAAAGCTCATCTGTTAAAGCTTTCAAATCATGGAGTTGAACCTTGCAAATCCATAAGAGATGATGTTGTTGAAGCTATAAGGAAAGAGCATGATGGTGCTGAACTGAGAAAAGCTCAACAAGCATTAAATGCAAGAAAAAAAGCAGAATATGTCACTTCACCAAAAGGCTCAGACTTGCTGCAATAGAAAAAACGCAAGGGAATGGCTCCACTAGGTGCTTTGCAAAAGTCATTTAATGTTGCTCAAAGAGATATTGCTGACAAAGATTGTGCTCGAATGTTCTATGCAAGTGGCTTACCTTTCAATCTGGCAAGGTCACCTTACTTTCGGAAGTATTCTCAGTCTTTAGTAAACAGCAGCTTGATAGGTTACACTCCTCCTTCATATGATAGGCTACGTACCACATTATTATCCCAAGAAAAAGCGCATGTTAATAGGCTACTGCAACCTATTAGAGATTCATGGAACAAGAAAGGGGTTTCATTGCTCTCTGATGGGTGGTCAGATAGGCAACGACGCCCTCTTATCAATGTCATGGCATCATCTGCAGGAGGAGCAATGTTTGTCAAAGCTATTGATTCAAGTGGAATTGTAAAAGATGGAGAATATGTTGCAAGTTTGTTCATTAAAGCCATCAAAGAGGTCGGAGAAGCAAATGTTGTTCAGATTGTAACTGATAATACATCCAACTACAAGCATGCTAGGTTGAGCATTGAAAACAAGTATCCACATATTTTCTGGACTCCATGTGTGGTGCATAGTTTGAATTTGGCATTGAAGAGCATATGTACCCCACCAGATAAAGCAACTCAATATGATCAATGTAAGTGGATTTCAGATTTAGTTTTTCAAGTGCAGAATATTCGTAATTTTATTCTCAACCATAGCATGGCATTGTCTATTTTCAATTAATATTCTACTTTGAGATTGTTAAGTGTTGCAGAAACCAGGTTTGCATCTAACATCATCATGGCTATACGTTTGAGGGAAGTTAAGACATCCCTTGAGAAAATGGTAATGGATGCAAACTGGAAAATTTATAGGGAAGATGGCAATAGTGTGGCTGAGATTAAAGCTCGTGAGGTAAAACAATGCATTGTGGATGACTTATGGTGGGATAACATAGATTACCTCATAAGCTTTACTAAACCTATCATTGACATATTAAGGCAAGCAGACACAAACTCTCCTGTTTTACATCTGGTATATGACATGTGGGATACCATGATTGAAAGTGTAAAAAAAATCATCTTTAACCATGAAGGGATAGACATAATTGTTGGTCAATCAACCTTCTTTAATGTCATTCACCAAATTTTGGAGAGTAGATGGAACAAAAGTAATACCCCTTTACATTGTATGGCCCATTCATTGGTTCCAAAATACTACTGTCATGCTTGGCTCCAAGATGGTAGTAATGGAATTCCAAGAATATCACCACATGAGGATCGTGAAGTCTCCATGAATAGTAGGGGTGAAAGAATAACCGGAAGGACCGACCAAACCGACCGAACCGAACGGTTTTCGGTCGATGTTTTAAGTTTTCAATCGTTTGGTTCGGTTCGGTTTATGTTTTTCTATACATTTGGTTCGGTTTACGGTTTTTGGTTTTTTGAACCTAACCGCACCGAACCGAACCGAACCGACTTATATAATATTAATAAGCCCAAAATGTGAGGCCCCAAACCTATGTAGGAATTACATGGCCTGAGCGCAAATTTTATGCAAAATGGATAGAAATATAGGCCCAAAATGTGAGGCCCAACTAGGGGGAAAAAAAAAGGCCAAAAAATCAAAAAAACCACATCGCACCGTAATAAACCGAACCATGCCAGTTTATGTCATTTTTCTGGGCGGTTCGGTTCACAAATATGAAAAACCAAAATGATCGGTTCAGTACAAAACTAGTGAAAAAACCGACCGAACCGAACCGATTTCACCCCTAATGAATAGAAGCAAATGTTTGAAGAGGTTGTTTCCTAATCAAACTGATTTACGAAAAGTTTATGCTGAATATGGAGCATTTTCTAGTGGGTCAGATTATTTCAATCAGCCTCATGTCATTAATGCAAGAATGTTTGAGGAACCTCTTTCATGGTGGGCCAATCATGGTGCTTCCGCACCATTACTACAAGCATTGGCTTTTAAATTGTTTGTGCAGCCAGCATCTTCATCTTGTTGTGAGAGAAATTGGAGTACATATTCTCTAATTCAAAGCGTTAAGAGAGACCGACTAGCAACAAGTAGAGCTGAAGACTTGGTGTTTGTGCATTGCAATCTTCGCTTTTTGTCAAGGAAAAGCAAGGAGTATAAAGAAGGACCCACAAAATATTGGGACATATGTAAGTTAACTCACTTTCAATTCAATAAATAGTAATGCAAGTATTATTTATGACTGGCTAAAAATAATTTTTCTATGTTTTTTTCCCTTACAGGTGGAGATTTGTTTGATATAGAAGGGCATGACATAATGGAGCTAGCACAAATTTCCCTTGATGATCCAGAGATGCAGACCATGACTTTTGATGGAGACAATGAAAGTCAGCAAGTTGTTGTTGAAGATTAAACCAATTGAAGAAGAGCGATAGTCAGCTAGTTTTTTTTTTTTGATAAATAGTCAACTAGTTTCTTTGTAGTCATTTATTCTTGGTTTAGGAGTAGAAGACTTCAAAGAAATTGTGTTTTTTCATTTCAAGAACTATGCAAGACCTTTAAGGACATTATGTTTTTTGGATAATTTATTTTGGTATATGTTTTTTGGATAATTTATTTTTGTGGCATGTAATGAAGTTACATTTGCTAGATGTTTTATGAATTATCTATTTGGTTGGCACATGATTTTAGAGTTGATTTTATTTTACAATTTAAATTCATTTATACTAATTTTTGTTTAGCCGTATCCACGTACCCGTATCTAATTTTTGGGTACTTTTTAGACGTCCCCGCGTATCCCTCATTTAGGGATTTGACGAGTCTGACTCTTAGATTCATACCCGCATCCGACACCCGTACCCAAGTCCGTGTAATGTAGCCTTTTAGTGCCTAAGCAAGTCTTTTAGATGGCTTTTATATATGTATGTATATATGTCGTGCCTTCTAGTGTTAAATTGCTTGGTTAAATATCCATGTTTTGTGTTGAAATATTCAGATTACATTGATTTCTGTTTTTTTTTTAATTTCTAGAAAGATTATTTTTGGGAAGTAATGTTACAATTGAAGACCAAGAGGAAAAATTTCAAGTTTTCGTAATGTGTACAAGTTCTACATGCGGGTAAAAATAAAAAATAAAGTCATAAATTAAGATGTTGTGTGCTGTGTAAACTAAAGAAAAGCGGAGAGCTCAAAGCTAAAAAATAGATAGAAAGGAAGTTAGTGGAGTCTGGTTCTGTTGTGTTAGGTAGAAAAGTCTTGTAAACATTATTTTAGTCTCCCTTCACTTGATTGAGGAAATGAAGTGCATATGTAATTGTTGAAGTGAATTTGATTATTTGCCTAGACTTGTATGTTTTGTTATATTTTTGGTAATATATTGTCTCTTGAGAAAATTGATAATTGTATGTCTAGGTTGCAGAGTCACTTGGGAATATTGTTCTTTGTGGGGCGTCCTGTCCCAACAAATAACTTGAGGATTGGGCAATTCTGCTTTGCAAAATGAACCTATTATTGAGCAAGTGTTTCTTACTCACTCTCAGGTCAAAAACCGATTTCAAGCAACAGGTACTTGTCTATTTTTGTTTAGCTATAATTTGTTTCTTCCGAAACTGGGATATTTCTTGACTTTTAGAGATCAACTCAAAGTTTATAGTATGATTACAAGAAGAAACATCTATTGGCTTTGTAAAAACTGATCATGAATCATCCAGTTCAACTGATGGTTTTATTTTTATTTTTATTTTATTTCATAAACTTTAGCAATTTTACAAAAGATTGTTTTTATTTATTTATTTATTGTAGTTATAATATCAAGGAGGGTTTCAATGCTAATAATCCGAGTTGCATTAAACCTTCAACATGAAGTGAGGGACTTCTATATATCTTCTCTTTCTTCAGGGTTTGTTTTTCAGAGAATCTTATCGTTTTTAAGATAGTATAAAATCTTGGTTGGTTGCTAGATTGACACATTCTGTTATTTTTTAGATTAAATGCCCTTTGTTCCTTGGCTTCGCAAACACTTACTTTCATTTTGTATCTCATGTGTTATAATTACATGTTTATGATTTCTTGTTCTTTCACTACTAGAATGAAGGCTGTTGCTTCTTGATCCTCTCGTGACTTGTCCCACCAAATTTATTAACATAATGTTTCTACAACTCCAAGGTTGTTTGTACAGTCGATCTTTATTTTTATTTTCATCTCTCTCTGAAGTATCTAAGTATCAAAGTCACTTATAGGTCATATTCCATTATAGTTCTATTTTCATTTTTCTTTTCGCTTTTCACTTCTATGAATTTATGCATTTGAAATACCTAGAATTTATTAGATTTGGATTCCATTGATGCCAAGTTTTAACTGGTAATCTTTCTTATAGAACATCAAAACTTAAGTCTAATATTTTGGAATTTGTTTTAGAACAATTTCTCAGTTTTTTATCATTTAATTCCCAGTGAAATTTTAGTCTATGTTGTGTTTCTGCTGCACACACCAACAGAAAGATCATGAAACTTAGTTGTGCAGGTCAAGTGGCAGAGTTTGATAGTCCAGCAAGGTTATTAGATGACAAGTCTTCCATGTTTCTTAAGTTAGTGCTAGAGTACTCATCTAGATCAACTAACTGCTCTTTCTATAACCATTTAGCCTTGTTTTATAGATGGAATCCTTCACTAATAGCTTGGTTCTTTCTTTCCTTTAATCACTTGAATTTCTAAATTCTAGGGCGTATCTAGTTTCTGTTTTAGTCAACCAACACTTCACCCCTCAAGAATTCAAGCTTCTTTTTCATCAAAAATTGAGTATATATATATATATATATTTATTTATCAGTATGTATTTCTGGGTAATATGAAGTGTATTGAGTGAGAATTAGCTTCTTGTTGTAGTAGATGTATTGGTTAAATTATCAATTTTAGTGCTAAATCTGATTCTCTGGCCATTTCTGTTGTTGTTTGTTATGTTTAGCCATTTGTTTATTTTGGGTACTTAGAACTTTAACTTGTTTATAAAATACTCTCTTTGGTTATTTTTGTGTCACTAGTTTGCTTTTTTAGGTGTGCTATTGATGTGTAAGTAATGGGTTTGTGACATTCATTTTAAAGGTTATTTCTTGTTGTGATTGATTTATCTTAATCTATTATGGTTTAATGGTAAGGGAGGGTGATAACAGCTGACTATTTGCAAAAAAATTGTGCTCTCGGTAGTAATGTTAATGTCTGCCCTTTTTGTAAAAGTGAAGTTGAATCTAGTAACCATGTTCTGTTACTGTGCTCTAAGTCTGAGCTACTAAATTGGTGGGGTTCTCAGTGGGCAACTCCAGATTCACTTGAGGGTGTGCTCCAATGGTGGTCGGGAGTGAAGCTAAGTAAATTGGAAATGAGTGCTAGATGTCTATATAAATACTGTCATATTTATATATGGTAATCCAAATATTTTATACTAGTAACAATCAAAGTTGTTATTCATTTTCTATTGATGCAGGAGATGAAGAGTCAGTATGATAAGAAAATATTTGATTTTGTCTTTTGTAAGACAAGAACAGTCTCTACAAAAATAGTAAGTTTATTCATAAATTTCTAGCAGTTTCTGAATTAATTTGTGTTTTTATTTTTCAGGTCAGAAATTTCTTAGAGTGATGCAAAATATGGTCAAAGAATTCAAGAACTTAGTTTTTTCAAGTTTTTTCATTTTTTAATATATGTAATCACAGTTAAAAACTTTTTATTAATTCCTTTGTATATATATACTTTTGAACATTTAACTTTCATTTATGAAATATATGATGTCATTCCATTCAATATATGGTTGTGATTCAAAATATAGTATATAGTGTGTATTACATTCTTCAAATGTGCGTACAAAAATAATATTATCACAAGTTATATTAATTGTTAATCACATTTAAAAGATGTGATCTAAATGTTATTAATCACACTAAAAAGGTGTGATCTAAATATTTTTAATCACACTTAAAAGGTGTGATTAAAAATGACTCTTTTTAATCACACTCCCAAAGATCACACTTTAATAAAACTTAAAAGGTATGATTAAATAACAAACATCACACAAAAAAAGTGTGATCTTTATCTGTTTTTGTAGTAGTGACTTCAGCCTGGATAAGGATAAAGCTCTTAGGGAGTTTATCTTTATCTATTGGAGAGTCCAAGGTAAACACTGAGCAAAAGTCCATTGAAGCTAGGCTTCTATTAGGACTAGGATTGTGTTGGCTATAGAGGAGAGGCACCCCCATGGGTCTAAGGTACGCAATTTGTATTCAGAACAGTGAGCAAGCACTATTGATTATCTTTGAAAGATATTTGATTACTAACTTAATCATCGAATTGCCCCCTGGGTGGACAAACCACTGCCGAAATCTCTTCTTTCTGTTATAGGTCGTTCGGGCTTATCCTATTCTGCCAGTGCTCTCCAGTTAAATACTGAGTTGGCAGTGTGGTCGGAAATTCACTCACACAATTTGGCGCCGTCTGTGGGAATCAAAGGAGAATAGATGGCCAACGACGGACAGAAAGAGAAGATTGGGGATAACACTCCTACTGGGAGTGGGAGACCTGTTGACCTTGACGTCGAAGAGGATAATTACAACGAAGAAACTCGTGACCAGAATCACGGAGGAAAGGAAGTCGTCTAGGAAGGTGACGTACCAAAGAAGACAGACCAAAGCGGGTACTATAACGAAGATAACCTTCAAGTATGAAAAGATAGATGCCTACGGAGGGACGAAGAGATAAAGGGGATGGCAAATAAATTGGCAGACCTGCAATCAATCGTCAATTTCATGATGCAAAATAACGTCATACAGCCACCATTCCCGCTGCAGGACACGCTGATTCCAGCGGCCAATGCCCAGAAGAGAGGGCAGAAAACAATCCCTGTAGCCCCACAGCACACCAGGAGCAAAAAACACTCTTACCGGCCGTCAAGGGAGATAGGGCGAGGAGAGTCGAGAAGGGAAGAATGTCGAAGGACACATCGCACCAAGGAGGCAAACCCCAGAGAACATCGACATGTTCAAAGACAGGAGTTGTGCTTCGACGCAACTAATGGAGAAAGGTCGAAAATGACTCACAACGAAGCTGAGAGCAGTGCACCTAAAAGATTGAAATCAGGAGATAGCCGAGCTACTGGACGGACCAAGGAGGACTTGAGAGATTACCTCAAGAGGAAGCAACAAAATGCGGAGGTAACTTCCCATGTTAAGCCGAGAACACCATTCTCGGTGGAGTTGGACAAATTTGAGGCACCAAAAAGATTCAGTATGCCGAGGTTCGAGATATACGATGGGAAGTCGGACCCCAACTTTCACGTTGGATTATACCTGAACTCGATGGCATTGTATACTGGGAACGAGTCATTGCTCTGCAAGGTGTTTCCCTCATCCTTCAGGGAGATTGCATC